ATGCAACATACAACATACAACTAACTGGCTATGCATAAATATTTCTTTCTGGAGCCAGATTCCAACTTTTTGAAGCGTTTGGCTTTACAATTTGTTTATAGTTCTCGAAACTTTGATTTTTGTATAAAAAAGTTATGCAAAAAAATATTGTATTTTTATTAAATAAGTACTTGCTATTTAAAAATTAAAATAGTTTCTAAAATAGTAAGAGGATTTTGTATATTAAATAATAAAAGTGTTAATTTTTTCCACCCTAATAAATTTTTTCGCGCCCTAATAAAACCAAACGTACTTTCTAACTCCTTACCTGTTTGCACTATTCCCAAAAATATAGACTAACGTTAGTCAGGGAATTTTATATGTAGATGATTTTGCGTAACGTTTAATGGAAAGCTATATCCATTTTTCCATAAGTATTTCTCGCACTGATGAATTATGACCATATCACTGTGTCTTGAAATAAGGCGTTTTTATATTTGCCCTATTCGAATTCTAATTGCAAGAACAGTTATACCTCTTAATTGCTGGTGTTCCCAGGTCCACTTTGACCCGGGGTGGTAGCACATGTTAGGGTCCCAGCTATGGGCAAATAGTGAACTCCTAGTTTTTCCAGATCTTACCCACGTCCTGGGTATGACGATAAACTACGTCCAACTGCAAGGCCTCAGATAATGTTTTCGGAAAAATAATGTTTGCCAGTTATACGTTTTTTTGGAAACAATGTTGCCATATGTATGCGTTTTTGAAAAAATGTTGCCAGCTATACGTTTAATAGTACTGTATATTTAATATATATATATATATTTATATATATATATATATATATATATATATATATATATATATATATATATATATATATATATATATATATATATATATATAAATCGATTCTCCTGTCGGGTTCGACGTATGAGGGTCAAGCAGATCAGTTTCCAGGAAACTGACAGCCCGACACCAGCACATGAGATTCGATTATAGTGGTGAAGGTTTCGTGCAGGACCATCCACACTTTTGAAGGGACGAATACAGAGACCTGGTGCACTACGTGCCAAAGGTCCCCAAACGACCCTCCGCAGGTTTTGAATTCAGAGTTGTCCTTCTCCTAAACCAGTTGCCATCCAAGGCTATAGAACCCAGTCTGTCCTGCTATTTTACCCATAGCTGGAGGGAGAAGAAGAGGATTCACACCTTTCCCAAGTGTATTATATATATATATATATATATATATATATATATATATATATAATGTGTGTGTGTGTGTGTGTGTGTGTGTGTGTGTGTGTGTGTGTGTGTTTTGTGTGTATATAAACTTAATTTGGCATTAAATGACCTACAGTGGTTGATATGCCATAAAACCCAACCAACCAACCAACCAAGATCAGTTATATAGCTCATGATAATAAATGTTAGATGAGTTCCCATTCGTTTGTGCCTGGATTCTCTGGCGTCAGCATGGAAGTCCCAGCAATAACAATGTGAATGCCTTGCAGAATAGCGCGTAGTCTTTCTTCTTGATATCAATTCTGTTCAAGACAGCAAGAGACGGGAAACGGGGAAGGAGAAAAATTGTGTTACAGACATCTTCCCAGTCGGTAGGATAACTTGCTTTCCTGCTTAGAAAACGAGCAATAGAAACAATTTCTTTTAGCTTAACTCAGAAGAGTTTCTTTTTAATATCGAAACAGGTGGGGGTGGAATTTTAGGTAGCTACTTCCGCCACCATGTCTGCCACAGTAATTGCCTAATAAATCATGCAATAACCCATGATATTTAACAAAAGGAAAAAAAGTACAATATATAAGTAAATAAAATAAAAGAAGCTTTATCTCTGTTTATATTTCTGAGATGAGGCATTGTAACTATTTACATCGTCCTCATCTTTATTGCCATATTCACGACGTTTCGGCCGTTGTACGCGCCGGCCTTCTTCAGGTGTTCTAATTCCACGTGCTATGCCTTTGTGGATATTGTCAGTATCAGTTAATTACCTTTAGTATGTCAACACTCCAATTTTTTTCCCTGTACAGTAAGCCATGAATTTTATTCCCAACTCTTTGGATCAAGTCACTTTTTGAATTAATCAATTTTGTTTTATCTACAAGGCCATCTGTCCAGTGAGTGAATTTCGGGGAGTTATAAATCTATAGTCTCAGTTATCATTTTTACCAGTTATTTCTATTATTCTGAGATATCCATTGAGCAGCACTTATAATTCTTGTAGTATATATGCTATAAGGCTGATACCATCTGTAAAGTGTATGTGACAGAAGTGTTCGCCTATATGTTGATACAATGTACATGCTTAATATATATATATTATATTTGCTCCAGACTAGACGAAAACATCTTCCGTCTTAAATTTAGACACCCCAACCTTACCCTGACTTGACATCTATGAATGTAACTCTATACTGATACAAATTATTAACACCCAACACCCCTTCCTATTTAAACAATCGCTCTGGCCGTTACCATGGAAATTTTGATTTCAATAATGAATATGCTATTAAAACACGTAAATTTCAGAAATAAGTTATTCCAAAAAAAAAATCTCGCTTGAAGATGGAACAGAGCTTACTTTAATTCAATTTAATTCAAATAATTATATTGAAATTTTCGGCTCTTGTTTTGAAACATGAGATCTCTTATGTAGCGTGTTGGAGCCATTTTTTTTATAAATAATTATATATATATATATATATATATATATATATATATATATATATATATATATATATATATATATATATATATATATATATATATATATATATATATATATATATATATATATATATATATATATTACTGTTTTTGATTATTTCTATCCATGTACACATGCATATCTCTGCAAGTGTTTTCCCACATGGATAGACACGCGCAAAACTAGAGATGTAAAAATAAAATGAATTGAAACAGCAAAAATTAAATTAAACACATTTTGTAAAATCCAACAGAAACATGTCGGTTTGCTATTTTATTGCATTTTTACAATTTTCCAATACCTTGTTTTAGGTGCTAAACAAAATTATGGATAAGCTACCCAATGTGTCTATATAAGTGAATGGCCTGACTATTACAAAGAAAGTTATTATACAAAATGTGATACACCGTGCAAAAGATAATTGCTCCAGGAAATAAATTTTCTTCACTGATTTTTTTTGTAAAATTGAACAAACTGCCGTTAATAATGATTTCGCTAATTACATCATTGATGAACAATATATGAGCCATTAGAAATATTACTATAAATCAAAAAGAACCTAATACTTCCTCAAATAACCCAGAACATATCAATCTATCATACCGTAACCAAATGAATTCTAATTTTAACAAGATAAAAAATTCTAAATTTTTTATAAGTATTAATATATTCCCCACTGGTCCCAGGTTAAAAAAATAAAACTAATTATATATTATACTAAATTTAACACAAATAACTTAATAAAACACAATAACTCTTCTCTGTCAATTAATGATTTGGAAATAAAACAACATTTTATATCCGTTTAAATGTCCTTTGTGAGATTGTATCTCTGACAAAAATAAAAGTACATATGTTGGTTTGACAACCATGATATTATCAAGACGTCTTTAACTTTGTTGGATACAAGTTCTCTTGCAATACTTCTAAGAGCACAATCCTGTCCAGCTTCAAAATACAGAACTTGTTGACAACACCAATATAATACACCACGAAAATAATAGGCAAAATTAAAAATTCTCGATGGCCTTCCCGCTAACTTGGAGCATGCGCATGTAAATTTTGGTGTAAATCTGTCTAGAATTGCAGCCGTGCATTCGTTACACACACACACACACACACACACACACATACACACACACACACACATCCTGCATTTTATAGATCGAGATTCCTCATTATCTCTCCGACCCAAGAACACAGCTTGATCTCTGCTTTCCCTCGGCGCAAACGATAGCATTATTTAGTTACTCGAAAAGGTCTCATAATAGAAAGCTACTAAATCTGACAAATATTTTTTCATGGCAAGCACTAAGCATTATATAATGATAAATAAGTATTTATAGGAAAATATGAAGAGCTAATTTAAAGTTACTTGAATTTTGTAAAATATAAAAGTTTTCGTTAGAGTTCATTGGCTATTTACATCTAGTAAAATATATGAAAGGCACACCGTTTTCCTTTTAATGTAAATGATTTATTTGCAACATGTTCCTTCAGAAATCAGTCTCACTGGCACGTTTTCCTCACAATGCCAACATCTGACATCAGTTACAACGACAATGTGTTTCAAAACTAAACAACGAATACATGTTTAGAGTATAAAAATAAATACATTCAACTGTCATGAAAGGAAAATTATTTGGATGTATTTCACAATCAGTAGGACGCAATCACTGCTCAATTGTGCAAGCTTATTCATTTTTGGTGAATAGGAATTGTGTCGTGTGCCGTTCATACAAAAAAAAAGGCATAGGCGCTTATTTGATTGATCGAAATACTTTTGCGTACAATTGCCAAACGAATGAATGATCGCGCGCTGAGGTTTCTGACTGCATTCATGAAACGCATAGGAGAGTGACGAGAGACTTTCAGTCGATAATGTCAGAGAGTAAGAGCTGGAGTCCAAATTAGGTATTGAATTGAATATTATGATATGAGAATTTGAAAAAAAAAAAGATAATAATGAATATATATTTTCTGATACGAATCTATGTATAAATCTATCTACAGACAATTATAATTATTTTCTTTCTCAGTTGGTTCCTTTTTTACGGTTTATCAACCCTTTGTTGGTTATTTCAATCCAGAATATAATTATTAGACTATAAGAACTTTTGTTGTGGGAGATAATAATGATTAAATGATAAAACCCTTACTAATTAACTCATAGCTTAGGAGAGGTGAATTTATACCTTCCCCAAGTAAATATAACGAAACCCATTGTAATTAAAAACCAACATTGCGATTAACAATTCCGAGCTATTATCAATTGCACCCCTGCAGATCGAAGCTTACAGCACCTGGGTTTCCTAAGTGGCCACCTCGCTAGTTATTGGCCAGGCTCAACGTTGCTTAATTTCGGTGATCTTACGAGAACCGGTGATTCAACGAGATATAGCCACAAGCCACTACTTGACTTTGGAACTGACTTAATTGCCATGTAAAGATTGAATATTACAACTGTTATACTTATAGATTGTAATTAATATTACGCAACATTTGAAATAGCATCAATTACACCACCCACATATACAAGCTTACAGCATCTGTTATTTCTAAGTGGTTACCCATCAGGATCGATATTGCTTAACTTTTGTGATCGTACAGGAGTCGGAATTTCGATGTGATTCAGCCATAAGTCTAAAGTTATAGTTATCAATAATTCACTTGGAATAATAGTAAATCAGTCCTCATAGAATAAAATCAGATATGACATGGAATAATTCACAAATAAATCAGTCCTTTTTTTTTAAAATTAATCCAAATTTTCTTTATTTGAAAGATATGACATCGTATGCTTTTGAACCTTTCAGTACTAATCTCGACTTCAGGTTCTTTGTTGACTATCAACTGGAGTTTTTTTTATATATATATATATAATCCATCCTATATATTTATATATATATTTATTTGAATATGTTAAATAAAAAAAGAACAGAAATCTTTCGCCGATTTTAGCAATAGTGCTTTGCTTATAAAATATTATAAATTAATTAAGCGAAAATAACCATATTTTAATCAATTAATTTTGAAAAATCATCAGGAAATAATTAATTTATATATATATATATATATATATATATATAACTGAATTTGAAGAGTCATCGAATCTGTATTTTAAAGAAAAACTACCTTGGTTACGCTTCGACTACGGAACTGGTTTCATTGATCTAAAAAGGAAATAGAGGTTCGATTCCGGTAAAGCGCCATAGTTTCCTTTAATAGAACATTTGCATCGAGGCAGTTTGATATTAATGTCACTGTTTAAAACCAATAACAGATACAAACTCAAAAACTTGCATCGACTAAAGATATCGCTTATAATAATAATAAATCGATAGATATGTACTTAATGAAATGATTCATCATAATTAATAATTAGTTTTAACTATATATCTCGACTATTATTTAAATCAACAGTTTTAAAAATGCTGGCAATTTAATTATTGGAAAAGGGATATTTTAGGATCGATATTGATATTGAAAAATTAACAACTATTAATATTCAACAGATATCATCAGAAGTCAAACACACACACACACACACACACGCAAGAACGCACACACACGCCCGCACGCACACACACACGCCTGCACACACACTCATATATATATATATATATATATATATATATATATATATATATATTTTCCTTGATAAAGTCCCTCAGATGACGATTTTTTTTTCCTTTTGTCTCTTTTTATTAATTGTATCTCTATCTGAGAGAATACATACATATATATATATATATATATATATACACACACACACACACACACATATATATATATATATATATATATATATATATATATATATATATATATATATATATATATATACAGTAGCGTCCAAAACTAAGGGACAAAATTTTAAAACCTAATATTTGTTAGAAATAACAACTGTGACAATTTTGACAACTGGTAGTCGTCATCATCCATAATAACATACTAAAATTTGAATCATTTGCAAAGGATAGAAAAAGAATTATAACAATTATTTATTTATTTTCAAAATAGGATCGTCCAAAAGTAAGGGACAAAATTGAGAAAAACAATGTAAATAGTATGCTATATTCAAATTTGTTGATTTCCTCTAAAGAATAAGTCTTACTTAGTCATTTGTAAACGTTGCATCAGCCGGCACCATGGCGAAACGCCAAAAACTTGATTACTCTGTGAGACAATTCGAGAGATTTCAGAGAAAGTGAAACGTTCCAAGAGTGTTGTAGGCAGGGTTGTTAAATCCTACAATGATACTGGAAAAATAGTTAGTGCTTTTAAAACCGGCAGACCCCGCAAAACTTCGGCAAGAGAAGATCGAATAATGCAGCGTATGTCATTAAAGGACCGTTTTAAGTCTTGCACAGAAATTAAAAGGGTTATGAGTAGTACCTCATGTGTTAATGTGTCAAGACAGACTGTTTCTAGACGACTGCAAGAAATAGGGATGTTTAATCGAACCCCAGAGAGGAAACCACTTGTTAGTTCGAAGAATAAGAAGAAGAGATTAGAGTTTTCAAACAGGTATGTAATTTGGAATATATGAAAATTGGGCAAAAGTATTTTCAGTGATGAAAGCAAGTTTAATTTATTTGGAAATGATGGAAAAAAAACAATGTAAAGAGACGTATTGGTGAAAGATTAAGTGCAAAGTGTACTAAGAAAACTGTCAAGTTTGGGGGCGGAAGCGTCATGGTATTTGGAATGTTTTCTAGCCAAGGTACAACGCCTTTTGTCCGGTTACAAACTCGTGTAAACGCGCAGATCTATAAAAACATTGTTCAAGATCATGTTGTGCCAATCATACAGATTTCAGGTTTCGATAGGGCTACCTTTATGCAAGATAATGCCCCATGTCACAAGGCAAAGGTGGTAATGAGTTACCTTAGCGAGGAAGATTTGGAAATTATGGATTGGCCACCGCAAAGTCCTGACTTAAATCCAATAGAAAATCTTTGGAAGACCTTAGGAGTGAAAGTTATGGAAAAAAATTCCACTAACACGGAGAATTTGTGGGTGAAGCTTCAAGAAGAATGGTCTAAAATTAGTATCGAGGATTGTCAAGAACTGATTCGTTCTTTTAGTCGAAGATGTGCAGCTGTCATTGAGAGCAAGGGCTCATTTACTAAATATTGATTGTACATGTATTTTTATTGTTTTTTTGCCGTTTACATTGTTTTTCTCAATTTTGTCCCTTACTTTTGGACGTTCCAAATTTGAAAATAAATAAATGATTGTTATAATTCTTTTTCTATCGTTTGCAAATGATTCAAATTTTAGTATGTTATTATGGATGATAACGACTATCAGATGTCAAAATTTCAGCTTTTCACAGTTGTTATTTCTAACAAATATTAGGTTTTAAAATTTTGTCCCTTAGTTTTGGACGCTACTATATATATATATATATATATATATATATATATATATATATATTAAATATATATATGATTAAAAAAGAACAATAAGATATGTAATTCGGTGATCTTTTGGATATTTTATTATTTTTTTTATTTTTTGAAAATAGTGCTCAATGTAAATTTACAGAGCATTAATATTAAAAATTAACTGATTTAGAATATGTTTTTCGCTACACAGTAATAACCATGCTTCAAAAATGGAAGATAAAACCTTTAAATTTAATTTTGTAATTAAATTAAAAACATTAGTTCCATTTCATCCTCAAGCGAATATATATGTATATGTATATATTAGGACCTTAAATAAGTTCTCGCTGTTTTAAATTTTTTAAAGAATTTCACTTTTTTTAAATTTATGTCATTTCTTTATATCAAATATTTCAATAATTATATTATTAATGTTTTTATTATTATTATTATTATCAATTTGTGATTGTGACGGTTATAATGTGATGATAAGGATTTCGTTGCTTAAAATCCCTAGACAATTTCATTGTATCTATTTTGAATATGATCACTCCCTTCCCGCACTCAGGTTTTAACTTGTCAAGTCCCGGAAGAATTTCTTTTCTGGGTCACCCTGTCCATTTGCTTAATTCCCTCTTTCCTTTCTTTCCGTCTCTCTCTCTCTCTCTCTCTCTCTCCCTTTCCGCTTCCCATGTTTATCTCTCTTACTCTAAACTAAAAAAAAAATAATATTTAAATCTGGCCTTCTCCCCCTTTTTTTTTTCACCTTCTAATATTAAAACTTTTTTTTTCTTTTTTTCTCTTTTCTTTATCTTCTTTTTTCTTCTTTTCCTTTTCTTTGTGTCTGAATAAATTGAAATCCATTTATTTTTCTAAAACTGGTCTGAAGAGATGGACGTCTGAAATCCACGAAATAAATTATAACCTGACCTGATGGATATTTAATGATTCTGCATTCATTTGAAACAGGTCTGCATGTGGATATATATATATATATATATATATATATATATATATGTGTATGTGTGTGTGTGTGTGAAATAAATAATGGATGTAAAAATATTTTCATCCAAAAACTTTTTGCCCACACTCAACACTGTCCTTATTCATTCAAAAACAACTAAAAGCTTTTGAAAATAAATATCTCGTCTCTGTATATATATATATATATATATATATATATATATATATATATATATATATATATATATATATATATATATATATATATATATATATATATATATATATATATATATGTGTGTGTGTGTGTGTGTGTGTGTGTGTTATGAGTGTATGAGGGAAGCGGGTGTTGTAAAGGATATCGACGCAGAAATTGAAATCGGAGAACCGAGTTCAAATTTCGGCCTCGTCAGTTGTATTCATTTCCGTTAACTCGTTGTTGCCAAAAAGCTAGAATTAGATTTTTCCCCTTGGGTGTCAATCAATGAAGAAAAGGGAAAACTGTGAATTTAAACTCGTTGAATAAGTATTTTTTTTTACAATAAGGAATGGAATATTTACAGTAAAGAAATATAATCTATGGGTCGTCATTATTTACCCTTTAAAGTAATACCGTCAGTTAAAAGTTTCTTACAAATGTATTCTAATAGATGAGATTTAGTTGTGATAAAACTGACAAATGGTAGAGGCCGAGCTTTGTAGCCTTGGTTGGCATCCTGTCGAAGAGAAGAAAAACACCGAATAAAAAATCGTCGAGAAGGCAACTTTTCGAAGAATATATGAGTATTCACAGTAAATAAATAAACATTTGTGGACAGTCATATTTTACTGTTCAGCTAAAAATGTCAGTTTTCAATTTCATAGAAAGTATTTTACGATAATACATTGGCTTTAGGTGTGAAGAAATCGACAAATACAAGCGAAGGAATGAAGGAAGTAAGTCAAAAATAAAATAATATGAAAGATGAGTTAATAGGATTAAAATCGATATTCTTGGCATTAGAACAGACATTCGAATCCTAGAATTGGTTTCGGCAATTTTGAACTGATA